AGTCACTAGAATCTGTAAGGGCCCCACTGGTTTTAGGGCAGCCTCCCGGCTGCTTCATCTGTTATTCAAGCTACAGACGCTCGGTTCCCTCTTGCTTCTGGGGAGTTCCCTTGTCTCACATACCTAGAGATGGAAAGACTTCGTTACATTTGGTAGCGCTAGTTGGCCCATCGTCCATGCTCTGCTCATGTCTGCCTAACTGCCTACCATATTACCTCAAAGATTCTGGGCTCTGAATTCTTTTAGAGAAAATGGATGTCGGAGGGGTCCTCTGGCTACTTCCATGCTGAAGGGGGATGGAGTTTTTTTTCAGAGCCAAGAGATCCTTGCTGTCTGTCAGAGGGGCGATGAGGCCTGAGCACCGAAGGAGGTGGGCTTGTGACCTGGTAAATTTTAAACTGCTTTATAAAATTTAGTATTATTGAGCAATTAGAACAGCAAGAGTTATAACAAATGGTATGGTATAAGGGAAAGAAAACATTTCAGTTTTGATAACTTCTATTGAAATAGAATTTTTCTCCTTAAAATTACTCCTCTGTTTATTTAATTTGGCCTGATTGTTTGTATAAACACAATAAGAATGGTAACTGACTATCTTTGTCAGAATTTCATGATTGAATTTTAATGTGCCCCATAGGGCCAGGAAGCCAAGCCATCCAGCTGCCATCAGGCCTGCCTACAGAATCTGCTGAGTAAGGTGACTCCATCACCTGCAGTGACTCCATTCGGGCCCGTGCCCTAGGCTTCAAGGCCCATTTTAGAAGCCCTCCTACTCCTTGCGGCCTAGAGTGTGTGGGGGGTCCCGCAGGGACGCAGAGGCACCCTTATTGCTCCCCTTCTACTCTGACCAACCACCAGCGATGGTAGGGTATGGGCCTGATGCTCCAGTGTTAGCTATTTTCAGGGCCACCAAGCAGGATACCAGGCTTTCTCTGTGGCACTTTTATTGGCTTTAAGTCTTCAGAGTTCAGACAGGGCTTTTTAAAACATGACACTCCAGTCAAAGTTTTTGGTCAATAAAACCACTATTGGAAACCGGTTTTATTGAATTTATGCAAAGAAATGTATTGCCATGATTTATTAAGAATTGCCAAATTTCTGAGGAATTGTATAAGGAGAAAAATATACTGACCTGCTTTAAGATCTTCTGATTTTTCTTGCCAGTCCTTTCTATGGACTTTTTAGAGTAATATTTTTCTAAATGTATTATAACAAAACAGTAACTGCCTTTAAATGACAAGAAGAAATTTAAAATGTGTCTATACTTAAATAGACAGTTATATCTGTCCCTGTAGTAGGGTTTCCCCTACTTGGCTTGTCCTTAAACTACATGTGATCTCTGGGAGGGGTGACATGCCCTCTCAGAATGGATTAAGGGAGTAGCTCTTCCATATGAGCTTTATCCGTTTGCAGGGTCTCACATGTCACAGGACCTCACAGGGTCTGTAATTCCTGTAACAGAGGGCTGGTACTCACCACTTCCCTCTGTTCTATATAGGCCTCCCCCACTTTTCTAAAGTTGAGATTTGTGCCACCCCTGACATGGGCATGATCACATAGGCCTGCAAGGCAGTATACAGGCTGCCAACTGTCTTTCAATAGAGACTAAAATCTGATGGGTATTTTTCCTTGCCTATTTGGGTACCTGTCCTTTTGGCAACTGCATTCAAATCTGTAAGAGAATTAAAGGTTAGTATAACATATTTATATAATGAAGTACAATATTGGCACTGTGGCCACTTCAGGCAGCCAAATTTTCTGTTACCAAGCATGACACATGGTAAGGCTATACAAACATCTCAGGGAGGTAACTAAAGTCCATTTTTGACCTTCCCACACAAAGCAAAACTGTATTTGTCTCTCTGGAGTCATGTCCATGAAGATGCAGGCATCATTTTAGTCCATTATACAGTTTTCCCCAGGCCACTGTCAGGGCTATGCATGGTGGCCAGTTTTTCTTTCTAGCTACAAACACAGTCTGTCTAATTTCCCTAAAATGCATTCTGGCATGGGAGAAGGTTGTTTTACTGTACATAGACAGCTTAACCCCTATACAACTGGGCTTGGACATAGCAAACTGCAGTCTATAAGTTCAATATGCAGCCTCCAGTCCTCCTAACCCAACAGCATCTTGGCTAGTCCCTTAGTCAAACGCCTCTTCTCTAGGAGCGTCTGAAAGTCCTGAAGGCTCTCGGGTCCATAGTAAGTGCCTTCCCTTTACCCTCTCCTGTTAACCCTGTTTATCAGTTACAGGGCCTTGCCATCCCTGGCTTTCACCACTGCTTGGTTCCTAGTGGCGAGCCAAACATAGCCAGGGCTGCAGGGAGAGACAAGTTTGTACATAGCAAAGCGCTCCGGTGATGGTTTGGGCATCAGGCCCTTGCCTTCCCAACTGTCCTCTTTCCTAGCAGAGACCGCAGCCTCCTCTGCAGGCTCCCTTGCCAGAATGTGGCATATAGTCCCCCTTAACCAGTATCTTGGCCCACCCCTTGGTCTAAGAGGTTAACTCTCTTTATTTCTTCGGGAGAGTCAAAGTCCTGAGCCCTCCAACTCAAAGGAGTGTCTTTTCTCCCGTTAATTCCTTTCAGTACCAGAAGCTGCTGCTGAAGTCTTAACCCTTTCAGTACATTTGCAACCAGGGAGCTTTCACTAGCTCTATTTGCTGCTTTCACAGATCCGGGGCTCGCTGCTCTGTTCCTGGGGCTGCTGGGAGGCTAGTAGCCGTCACTGGCTTCTGGTTTAACTGCTGTAGCCAGCAAGCCAAAGGCCTAAGTCTTGTATTGCTTATGGTAAAACGCTCATTATTCACTGGGCAGCAGTTGGGCAGCCCTAGTGTCAGGTAAATGTCTGCTGCCCCCCACTTGTCATTGTTGCTGCTGTTTGGCTCTGGGTGTCTGACCTCCCCTCCTGCTTACTCTTCTCACCTCCATTTACCTACCCACTCTTTCTCTAGGCAAAAGTTTCTGCTGGGATTGCCTGGTTGCAGCTTAGATATTTGGTCCCTCTACTTTCTTTTGCCTGCTCTTCCTTCTTTGGCAAAGGTCTCTCCCAAGCCTCCTGCTCCTCGCTGCTCTTTGGGAATCTGGTTCCAAGTTCTCAAAGGGTGGGGAGTCAACACGATCTCCCAACAGGGTACTCTTCTCACCTCCATTTACCTACCCACTCTTTCTCTAGGCAAAAGTTTCTGCTGGGATTGCCTGGCTGCAGCTTAGATATTTGGTCCCTCTACCTTCTTTTGCCTGCTCTTGCTTCTTTGGCAAAGGTCTCTCCCAAGCCTCCTGCTCCCCGCTCCTCTTTGGGAATCTGGTTCCAAGTCCTCAAAGGGTGGGGAGTCAACACGATCTCCCAACAGGGCACTTACTCCTAAAGTCCTGTCCTGACACCTAGTGTTGGGAGCACTGGCTCCTGCTGGGACCCACACATCTTCTAGATCCTGCCAGCAAAACCAAGTGTCAGAGCAGCAAGGGCACAGCTGCTCTGAGTTGTTCTGAGTTCCTATATTTTTTCTTTTTATTTTATTAATTTTGTTTGTAGTTTTAACCTTTTAACTAGTAAGCCAAATGCTTAAGTCCTTTATTGTACGTTGTAAAATATTTATAATTCACTGGGCAACAGCTCAGGTGTCAGGTTACTGTCTGGCATTCCCCACTTTTCTCACTGCTGCTGCTGCTGTTTCTTCTGGTGGCTGCAGGTGTCTAGGGTATCC